CATGATGATCATGCATTCAAAGAACAGACAAGAAAAAATTAATCACTATTAACACATTTTCCAAAGCAAATCTACAAATTTTCCAGAGCAACTTTATTCTCTCACCAAGAATAAAAGCAATGTGTCTCTATACGAGTAAGCCCAGGACCTTTTAAAATACAATTTTATGAGACAAAGCTTACATTTCTAAAGATCTTCCAAAATATTCCTATTGCTTCCTCAAATGCAGAGGCTGCCTCATTTCCTATAAATTGTTTTTCTCCTTCTGTTCAAGAATAACAAATTCATTAAAACTTTAAAGACTTAATCTCGAGTTATGGCTTGATGAGATCTCTGTGGGATGAAAGAAATCAAGAGATCACAATAACTGCTATTTTAAAATGTTCTTGCAATGGAAACATAATTTATTGATGAGAACGCACTGCTGTAGAGAGAAAAGAATTTTAAAAGCACATTCAAAATATCAGTTAAACCCTAAGATGGGTTTCTGAAAAGTTAGGGGTCTCACTGTTTTATTTTTTTAACAAACATCAAGCCAAATATCATTTAATTAGGCTGATTTTGTAGTTCAGATATGAGTCATACTTGTAAAAGAGAAAATGTAATCAAAGTACTTCCTATAAATGTAAAATATCACCTGTCATATAAATCTCTTCTTGACCCATATATTGGCCAAAACTATTGCAATTTATAAAAATCTAACTCATATTCCATAAATCACATGATTAAACATTTGACCTTTACTCTCAACTTTCTTCTTGAAGTTTCTATTTCCTATGATATTTTCTTCCTCTATGCAAAAGGATATGTTTTATAATAAAACTGTTGATTGAGTATACTGTTAAACACTATGCATCTACCAAAACAATTTAAAATAATACTGAAATATTTTGAATAACCACAATTTTTTATAACAGCAGAAACAGGGACTCAGAAAGATAAGGTAAATGAAAATCAACAAAATTGGGTAAATTACAATTACTACTTTGATTTATTTTACCATGTAGGGTAATTCTACCCCATCACTTTTTAAAGGGATCAGTGTATGAAATCGAATCTTTAAATTATAAAAAAATTCTGAAGATGTTTAGGTTTTAAGACAGATTTTTCCTGATTGATTATTCTTTTAATGTTCTGGTTTGAGGTAAGAAACTAAGCTATATAGAAATATAATAAAAACACCCACATCACTTAAAATACCTAGATTTAGGCTTAATCAATTGCTTTGCTCTTTCCAGAGAGGGTCTCATTTGAAAACTGAAAGAGTAATATTGATGACCTCCAAGGTTCGTGGCCACTCAGACATTCAGATTCTGCAAACACCTTTCCCTCCTTGATTGTGAGTTTTACCCTTTGTCTGTAATAACTTATGAGTCAAAACATACATCATTTTGTAATCAATCATTTGTACTAGTGTTTCTATTCAAAATAAAGCAAAAGGTTGGACATGAATAAGCATATAATTCATATGGATGTGCTAATAGTCTAGATACAGCAAATTAAGTGGTATCAACATTTAGGAAAATATTCTAGTGTGCCTGACTAATACAGCCTTTTCACACATAAATAATGACTCAAATAATGACTATAAGAACACTCTTTTCTCATTAGAAAGTACACAAAATAGAAATGTTCTAAAGGCTTTTTCACAGTTCAGTGGCCTCATCCAACTTTCCAGTTCAGGGTCTCCAACATTTCATTTTCAAAGATCTACAGCCCACACAGTGTCTAAGGGGCTTATTAACCCTATGTTGCCTATAGGTCTTCAATAATGCTATAGGGTGGTCATTGCTGAAGTCCAATGGCCTCCTTAGCCTATGCCTTCTTCTACAAGTTACCTCTTCTACTCTACCCTATATCTGTTCTAATTATAAAATAATGATCACAATGATAACAATAATACCAATGGTTAAAACTGTGACAGAAGACATCCAGTTCTTCACACTAGTTGACATTACTTTCTGCTGTGTTGCAAAGAAGGTAGGAAAGAAAGTCAACTGAATCTAGTTCTAGTCTCAATTTTGACAAAACCTAGTTGTGCAACCCTAGATAAATTAGAAACTTGCAATGGCTCCAGGATTTCTCATCTATAAAGACAGAGATTTTGCTGCACAAAAAGGATCCACTGTGCACCCTGGCCCTGAAACTGTGTGATGTGAGGCCGTACCTAGTCATTTCCATTTTCATTCTGCGTTACTGTCACCTTAAATCTGAACCCTTTGCCATGGTAATTTCAGGATCGCCACTGGATTTATAAAAATTCAACACTACATATATCAGAACTTGGTTAGCTAAGAAAAAAGAGAAGCAAAGATACTCAGTGTGTCAGCCCTGAAATTAGAAATACAACCGTGGCCTTTCCCATCAAACTCTTGCCTTAGATTCACTTCCTAAGTCTCACTCCCCTAGAAAGTCTGGTCAATGGAATATGTGTCTCAGTGACAGAAATTCAGAGTGGAAATTCTTCATCAGGATAAATTCTTCCAGTTCGCCACTTTACCATTTGTGAGTTACTTTGTTAGTTCACGATGATATGGCTTAGGAAGGCTAGTGGTTTCAAGAATAAGTCAAACATTAAGTGAATACAACATCAAAGTGATTATAAAACAGATTCAAATAGTTTTCTTTTTGGTGTTTAGCATCTTCCTCCCAATCCAGCTAAAGATTCCTCTCTGGAACTGATATGTGGAGGGTGCTATCTCTCTATAAATAGACTTATTCCATGCTATGTGAATCATGGCTGCTGACAGCAAATCAACAGATTAATTATTTGGCTTTGTTAGTAAAGATAATAGCACACTATCATTTTCCCAAAAAGCTTTTCCACACACCACACGCCCATTCTTCTAAGCTAAGCTTCAGAACAAACTGAAATGGTATACAAATACACGCAGGTTGCCCTTGCACTGAGAATGTCTTAATAGGACCTGCCATCTCTCTGCCAGATTGTTATTGTGACACTTTAGCTATAGGAAGTCACCAGTCAGGATCCTCTCTGATAAGATGAACACTATATAGAAGAAAAAGGGAGGCAAATTAAATGAACACTGAAGAAAACCATAAATTCAGAAATTGCCTCAAATCTCTGTTTTCTAATGAAATGCTAAGGAAGAGCCCACAGGAAGCAGTAAATATGGTCCTTCCTTCCCATGCAAAATGAAGCCATGAAAATAAAGCCATGCAGAAGTAACCCATTGATCATCTCCAAGTCAACTCCAGAGATCAGGATCAGTTTATCTTATCCGTTCACATATATCCACCTATCATTCTTACTATCTTGTTTTTTAGAAGAGGCTGACTAGGATCAACTCAAAGACATCATATAATTATCCCAACGAGAGCACAAGCACGTACTTCAGAGATTGAGATATAAAAGTCACACTGAGTTCAGAACCTTGAAGTTCTCTGTAGACCACATAAGCCTTAAGAAAAGAAGGCCTCCAAATTATCCCTCCACAACAGAACAGGTTATTTTATTTTCCACTAGGTGAATTCCTTTGTAGGGGTAATTCAAACTATTGCATAAATCTTCACTTTATAAAATGAACATGCTATACTAATTGGACATAAAATAATACAGACTAGTAGCTCCTGTCTTGGGATCATAACTATTTTTGTATACTCCTGAGATTTACTACTTTATCTTCATCACAAAATAAGAAAATGAGCCTAGTATGGAGTGGACAATGTCATGAAAACCCAATGGAAAATGAAACAGGGTCGCTTCTTCACAAGGCTTAATTCCAAATTTCTGAGCTAATTCTGAGCCCCACTTGTCCAGACTTCCCAAGTGTGGTCCTTCATCCAATGGACCCATCCATGTGCCTCATTGCTAGAAACCAACAGCACACCACAATCAGAGTTGCAAAGAGACAAACTAGCCAACTGAGTACAGAGCAGGCTTCCTTTCTAGACAGTGCTGCCTTTCAGTTGTCCACAACAGGGGTAGAGTATCTGCAGAATGCAAATGGTTCTGCAGCCACAACCAGAAAACCAACAGCCTGATGGAAGCACAGATCTCTCCGCAATTCTGCTTTCATTCTCTCAAGCTGGGAACACTGGCCTGGCTTGAGCTGGGAATCATCATGTCCAAACTTGGGGTGTCCAATTTCCCTTTGCAAGTAGAGACATAGCCAAAACAATCATCTGTGGTCAGGGCTGCAGAAAAGCCCATGCCATGAAAATCTCTGATCAAGCTGAAGTTTTCTTTACACTCCTTGAAGCCAAACTGTGTATACTGTCTTGTTCCCTCAATGTCCCAGAAGTGTGAGTGTGCTAAGTATGGTAATAGCACAGAAACGTTAATGAGCAGAGTCCTTGGAAACCATGAGAGGGGTTGGAAGAAAATAACAGGAAAATGAAGACTGTGTAAAGGAAGTGAAAGGGCATGAGGGAAAAATGAAGAGGTGAGAAATTGACAAGGGCGTCTGAAATATGCAATGCCAAGTGTTGCTGGAGGAAGAGTTGGAAAAATAATAAATTTAAGTTCATCTGGTGTCTACTAGGTGTCTATCATGGATTATGAGAGATAAGGGAAGAGCTGTATTAATCCTTAGGTCCTCAGTGGGCAGCGTAAGTACTGTACTGTACAGATGGATGGATGCATGGATGGATGGATGCATGGATGGATGGATGCATGGATGGATGGATGGGAGAGCCGGAGAGAGAGTGAACCAATGAATGAATAAATGAATGAATGAGGTGGTCACTCACTCCCCTCAAGGACTCTACAGGCTCTTTTAGAATAAGTGCATCTATACATGTAATTCTTCTAGTCAAACCCTGGATTGATCAAAGTAGAAAGTGTTTTTGCTGAATATGGGGCAAGAAGCTATTAATTGACAGAGTGGTTGAAAGAGAGAAGTCTGGAAATGAGAGAAGAGGGGTCAGAAGGTAAAAGAGGAATCCTGGTTCCCTTCCACGGGCGTCCCGAGGTGCTTTGAGGAAGGGGAGAGAGGGTGTCCGCCTCTGGGGAGCCCACTCTCCGGGCTTCTACTGACCTGGTCTCCGCCTCACGGGCCTCTTGCGGCCGCTGCAGAAGCGCACTTTGCTGAACACCCCGAGGACGTGCCTCTCGCACAGGGAGCGCCCGTCTTTGCTGGGGCTGGAGCGGCGCTTGGAGGCCGACACTCGGTCGCTGTTGGACTCCCTCGCCTGCCGCTTCTGTCGGATCAAGGAGCTGGCTATCGCCGCAGCCATAGCTGCTCAGCGAGGGCCCCAGGCCCCAGGCTCTACTGCGCCCTCCGGCTCGCGCTCTGCCGGGGTGAGGGCAGGACCTCGGCGGCCAGGGACAGGGCAGTCGCGGGGAGGCAGTGCTAAAATTTGAGGAGGCTGCAGTACCGAAAACCCGGCGCTCACAAGGTTAGTCAAAGTCTGGGCAGTGGCGACAAAATGTGTGAAAATCCAGATGTAAACTTCCCCAACCTCTGGCGGCGGGGGCGGGGCGGTCCCAGGCCCTCTTGCGAAGTAGACGTTTGCACCCCAAACTTGCACCCCAAGGCGATCGGCGTCCAAGGGGCAGTGGGGAGTTTAGTCACACCGCGTTCGGGGTACCAAGTGGAAGGGGAAGAACGATGTCCAAAATAACAAGCCGTGCCTCTGTTGGAGAGGCGCAAGCGTTGTAAGGTGTCCAAAGTATACCTACACATACATACATAGAAAACCCGTTTACAAAGCAGAGTCTGGACCCAGGCGGGTAGCGCGCCCCGGGTAGAAAATACTAAAAAGTGAATAAAACGTTCCTTTAGAAAACAAGCCACCAACCGCACGAGAGGAGAGGAAGGCAGCAATTTAACTCCCTGCGGCCCGCGGTTCTGAAGATTAGGAGGTCCGTCCCGGCAGGGTGAGGTCTACAGAATGCATCGCGCCGGCTGCGGCTTTCCAGGGGCCGGCCGCCCGAGTTCTGGAATTCCCAGAGGCGCGAAGTGGGAGCGGTTACGCGGAGTCTGGGTAGGGGCGCGGGGCGGGGGCAGCTGTTTCCAGCTGCGGTGAGAGCGACTCCTGGCCAGCAGCACTGCAAAGAGAGCGGGAGGCGAGCGAGGGGGGAGGGCAGCAGGGAGGGAGGGAATATCCTCGAGGGCCAAGCACCCCTCGGGGAGAAACCAGCGAGAGGCGATCTGCGGGGTCCCAAGAGTGGGCGCTCTTTCTCTTTCCGCTTGCTTTCCGGCACGAGACGGGCACAGTTGGTGATTATTTAGGGAATCCTAAATCTGGAATGACTCAGTAGTTTAAATAAGCCCCCTCAAAAGGCAGCGATGCCGAAGGTGTCCTCTCCAGCTCGGCGCCCACACGCCTTTAACTGGAGCTCCCCGCCATGGTCCACCCGGGGCCGCCGCACCGAGCCGGTCTCCGCACAGGCTCAGAGGGAGCGAGGGAAGGGAGGGAAGGAAGGGGCGCCCTGGCGGGCTCGGGATCAGGTCATCGCCG